ATATACATATATATATACATATATATATATATATATATATATATATATATATATATATATATATATGTGTGTGTGTGTGTGTGTGTGTGTGCCTAGGAAGCTAAATAAGGGGATTTTTTATAAAAATACAATTTAATTTAAGATTTATTTTTTTTCTAAAAATATTTTAAATTAATTAATTTAAATGTAATTAAATTAGAATTTTTTTAATTAAAAAAATAATAATACCTCTTCAGTACTGCATAAAATATTTTAAATCAATATTTCTTGTATGCCATATTGTTTATCGCAACCCATTCTAGGATTTTTTTCTTGACAAAGAGTACATGCAGGGTTGCTTTAGAAAATGTTGTCTAGGTAGGCAGTTCACTAGACTAATGATTTTTTTTCTTTTAGATAAAACATTGGGAGTTTTTCATTATCGCTCATCAAAGGGAACATACAAACTCAACTATACAATGGCGCAGGAGGCCTGCAAAGAAACAGAAGGCACTATCGCTACCTACACACAGCTGTCCTATGCCCAGCAGGTGGTGCTCTTACAGTAACACTAGCTGTCATACCTCTCATTCAGCGCTCATTGTCTGAATGTTATCGGGTGTCTTTTCTCTTACGTTTGTCCTGCAGGCTGGTTATAACTTGTGCGCAGCAGGCTGGCTTGACAAAGCGAGGGTAGCGTATCCTATGAGCTTCTCTAACCCTAAATGTGGCTCTGGACACGTCGGGATTGTGGACTATGGTGTCCGCAACAACTTGAGTGAGACATGGGACACATTCTGTTATAGAGTGAAAGGTAAAAGTCATCATGGGATATATGTGAAGCTGTGTATACAAGCAGGGGGAATTTTTTGTTTAGACGGTTTGTGTGTGTTTCAGATGTGAAGTGTGAGTGTAAAACTGGCTACATTGGTGACGGATACTCCTGTACAGGAAGCTTGCTGCAGGTTCTCTCAGCTAGACCAACCCTGTCTAACTTCCTGGCCGTGAGTAGAGCTTGTTTGTTTGATTGTTTGTTTTTTGTTAAAGCATTGAAATGATTTTATGGACATGGTGAACCTTCTATGAACCTTCTTTGTCTTTTTTTTTTAGCAAATCCTGAATTACTCAACTTCAGCATCAGGAAAGGAGTTTGTGAATCGCCTAAGTAACATCACTATCCAGTCCACTCTCTTTGTACCTGATAATGATGGTCTCTTTAGCAATCAGGTGATTTCCACATACACCTTTTATACTTTTAAATTTTGCTGCCATTTTGTTTAAAGTATTTTTAAATAATATTTAAGTTTTTTTTTTCACTTTTAATCTCACAGTAACCACACTGATGCATGACTTGTACAACAGTGGACAGATTTTGAAAGTCTTTCAGCTCATAATTATATTTTATAGATAAAAATATTTGGTGTGATATTATAAAGACAACTTATTGTTAAAATTAAATAATTGGCTTTTATACTGTCACTATGCTAAAGCCAAAGCAAGTTATTAAAATATTATCTTTAAAATATTTACTTTGTATTAAGCTGTCAAAATTTTTTTACCAACTGTTAGAGTAATATTAGATTCACTACCATTCAAACATTTTTAAAAGTTGAAATGTATTAAACAGTATTGCTGCCTAATATTTTTGTGGAAGCTGTTTTTTGGCAGGATACTTTGAGTACAACATTTCAAAAGAACGGCATTTATTTGAAATATACTTTTTTTGTCTTTACTGTCACCTTTTATCCATTTTATTTGTTCTTGCTAAATAAAAGTATTAATTTCTTTATAAAAAAAAGTAATGATCCCAAACTTTTGAACAGTAGTGTATAAAAATAAATGTTTTCAAATTCAGATTTCTAATTCAGATTTATTTGTAAAGCAATTTTCACAATAAATACTGAATCATTCCAAAGCAGTATATTAAAAAAAAAGTATTAAACACTTCATAAATGCTGTAAGTAAACACATTAACAGTACTAAAAAATAAACTAGGACCCCAGACCCTAGTTTGAAAACCCCTGTATAGGCCCCCTTGGTTAATGCCCCTTATGTGTTCAACAGACTTTGAGCGGCAGAGACATAGAGCACCACTTACTGGATGGGAGGGCTTTAGTACTGCAGGCTCTTATTAACATCACTCATGTCCGGACACGACTGGGACACAGCCTGACCATCAAGGGTGTGCCTGATCTCCAGAACCCTCAAATAATGGTGAGGATGCAGACTTCCTTCCATTTATATCAAATCATTTGAGTCACGTGGATAAACGTGTTTAATCTGCTTGTCGTAACTCTCATCTTCATAGTCCTCCTCGGGATACATCAACGACCGTTATGTCATAGACTCCGACATTTTGGCATCCAATGGGGTCATCCATGTTCTGCAGGGCCCATTGAAAGCACCTCTCCCTCCACCTCCATCCATCCACGCGGCTCATAAGGCTGGGATGGGCATCGGCATCCTGGGGCTCATCATCCTCATCGTAGCAGCTGGATTTGTGGGATACAATTTCTACACACATACAACAAAGCCATTCCAGTTCCATTATTTCAAGGTAATCCTTGTTTACGCATCTTGTTTGTGTTCACGTTTCTGTATTAGGGCTGTCAAAGTTCACATTAGTGGATTAAGTTAATTATCAATAATTTATTTATAATTAAAACCTAGGCAGAAAGTTTAATGAAATTATTCTACTGAATGTCATGCACACAAATTGCCAAATGCAAGAATTACAGAAGTTATTTTGTGTATTAGATTATTTGTGATTAAATAATTTAATCGACTGACAGCCCTATACACTTTCTTTTTTTCTATATGTGGTGTGTGTTTATACATAATCACTTTATTTATTATATTTTTAGGAGGATGAAGATGTGAACCCATCAGAATCCAGTCCAAACATCAGTAATCCTGTATATGACTCTTTCCCTGCCACAAAAGCACAAACTCCAACGGTCAGCGAGTCAAATGTAAGAGAAGCAGCTTTTCTTCCCAGAAAACACACAACGTTCCCCTAACATTCCCATATGGTTCCCATTTGGTTATTTTTTGGGAATGTAAGAGAAGCAGCTTTTCTTCCCAGAAAACACACAACGTTCCCCTAACATTCCCATATGGTTCCCATTTGGTTATTTTTTGGGAATGAAAAAAGTTCTCTGTAAGTTATTTTTCTTTTTTATCAAAAACTAACCTTCCCAGAATACATTCTAATGGTTATTTTTAGGCTTAATTCTTATAACCATAAACTAAATTTCCCCAAAAATTGCAGGGATGTTTTTTTAATAACCTCACATTTTATTTTTATAACAATAAACTAACCTTCCCAGAACATTGCAGGGATTGATTTTTATAATAATAAAAAAACCTAAATAAACCTAATAACCTATTCAGAATGTTCTCTAATAGTTTTTTTTAATAACCTGAAACTAACCTTCCCAGAATATTGCAGGGAAGTTTTTATTTTTATTTTTATTGAAACCTTTTGGGGAAAATATTCTAGCTGGGTATAAGCTTGTTATGGTTGCTTAAATGCTTAGAATTTGTATTATGTCTTACAAGACTTATTTTACATTATACCAACCTTCCTTATAATATTTCCTCAAATGAATGTGTTCAAATTTAAGTACACTAAAGTGGATGTGTTTTGTCTTTTGTAAAAGGAAGAAGACAAGCATCAAGTGATTTCCAGTGGATCCTATGACCTCCTCCAGGACAGCTGAAATAAGCATAAGCTACGGAATGATTTGAATCCTCTCTGTAGCAGAGCAGTGGGACATTCTGCTGCATTTCTCTTTGAGAACAGAAGAGGATGCTGTGAACTCCATGTCACGATGACGGGACAGTGGAACACTAGACTGAGAAATCAATCTGAATCTACTGAGGTTGTGTATGCATTTTTTTTGGTCGGTCTCACCTATGAACGACCACCTTTTTTATCTTTTTTTTTTTTTGGGACGAGTGATTATTTGTATGTGTAAAAGTTTAGAATTTGGTTACCAGCAGTCTCTAAATTCTGCTGTACTACAGGCATTAATAAATGCCCAGCATACAATGTTTTAAATAACTGCCCTGCTTAAAGCACAAATAATTAAAAAAATTAAATAAAAATTGTGAAGGTTGTGAGCTCTATATATCTATTTTATGCATAATAAGTCTTTTGGGGTTGCAATCTTTGACACATTTGACACATGCTTAATTATCCAAAGCACCTTAAAAGTACATGCACCTGAAAATAATTTTCTGTTAAACAAAATGATGCGACAATTTTGTGTTCAAATTTCACTCTTGACAAAAGTTGTGCACACTGATTTTTAAAAACTACAAAAGTCATGAATTTTGAACGAGACACTGTGGAAGAAGATTCAGAGGTAAGAGTACATGATTTAAGAATTGTGGAAAAAAGTGTGGAAACCCTGCTCTTGCCAAACTGCACATATCGTTACATAATTTGGGATGTAACTAGTTTGTTTTGACCTTTTCCTTTTATGACAGTACTCCTCACACTTTGCTTTCTTTTGTTTCTATCAAAATTCTTAGTGGGAACAAAAAACAAAAGTTTATACCATGGGCATTTGGCTTTGAATTGAGAACATCAGCCATTTTATCTTTCTTACCCCATTGGTTGCAAGCATATCTGGATCATTTACTGAAACTACTAAATGTGTGTTGTTATGCTGGCCGAGACTTTGAACAATCATATTTTTGTTTTTAAATTTATGAAATATAAACTTAAGTCCTCTCACCTTTGACCGACCACCTCGGGTTTGTAGTTTCACGTAATTGACCACAAGAGGGAGCTGATGTTCACCAATTAGTTACATGCGTTTATTCTCATTTAACACAACAAATATTGAGTTTTGCTGGAGTATGAAAATGTCCATGTATTTGTCGCTTGTGCATATAGTAAATGAGCCAAATTGAAGCAACTATGAGTCTGTTGACGCTGTAATACGACATGACACGTTATAAAGTGAAGTGCAGTTTTCCATCCGCTCCACTAGGCGGCAGAAGCACTTTCAGAGACTTCGGATCCTTGACAACATGAAAGTGATCAGAAGATGTAGAACCTTCAGAAGACACAACAGTTCATATCAATGTGAGTTACTGAAGCACTACACTCGCGTCTGTGGCTTTTGAATGAGGCGTTCACACAACACACGTTTATCGAAATGTGATATTAAAATGTGAAGTTATCAGGGAGTCAGTTAATCGTTTAATAAAATGTAATTTCACTCAACCTAACTGTGTGGACGGAGCTACGAGATACAGTTCCTCGAATTGAGTTTCCAGAAAATAGAACAGAGGCTGTTTGTAAATATATCATCGACGGTAATATTGTTGAAAGAAATGTAATGTCTCAAACATTTATGAAATTATAAATAGAACGCATCGTAAACACCGTATTCACACTTAAATGATCAAATATCAATATTTACTTGGCAGGCGGAGAAAATGTGTAACTGTACACATGTAAAGTGATTTAAAGGACAAAACGAAAAGACAGTTAAATATATCTTTTAATCAAGCGATGAAGAGCTGGATTTGGTGGGTGTGTTTACGTGCTGTCAAACAGTGTGATTGATTAACGAATCAGACCAATAGGAGTGGAGAACTGCACTGCCTCTCGTTCCGGATTGGTTGTTTTCTTTAAAGGGTGGGGCATATTATTTAACCAATAGCAGCGTGGAAGAGAGGAAAGGTGTGTCAGTTTAATAGGGGCTAGTTCAAGCTCTAACCGGTGTGCACCGTTTTGCTACGGTTTCCGGGTTGAACGACATGTTTCCTGGAAACGGTGTGCAACGGGGTTTGAGATGCGTTTTCTCTTGTTTGGAGGGTGTGTCAAACATGTCAGCCCAATCAGCAGCAGCATGTATGTAAACCACGCGGTATTAAAGAGACAGCTTGCACAATGTAATAAACATCAGAATAAATTCACAAGAGCAAGGATATTGTTTGCACATGTTTATTTACATTAAAGGTAAAATAACTGAAATAATAAGGGCACAAGTATAGATCTGGAACTTCTTTAAGTCGGTCTAAATATCATTTAGTAATTGCAATGTCTTCTGGTCCATATCCTTTTTACAATAGCACAACAACAGTGATCAGCAATAATGATAAGCCTAATACTCACGATAAAAATAATAAGGTCATATAGATCATAACACAGTCTCGGAGGTAAGAAGTGGATTGTCCTTCACCTGAAATGTTTGTCTTTTCATCCTGAAATGCGAGGCAAATGTTGGATCACAATAATTAGGAACCACAGTTTCCACAAATCCCTTCATTTGATTGGGATGTTCTCTTTTATTCTGGAGGGCGAGGGCAGTGACTGTAACATCGAGCGTATTTTGCAGTATTAAACTCATATTTATACCGATTTCATCAGACTCCGAAAATTCTTCAAAAAGAACACAAAGATTGGCCTTCTCAGCTGCTGTAGTTGCAACTCTTGCGTCATCAGAACAGTGTGTTCAACACACCACCGTTTTGTAGGGGTTGAAGGCAGCCCGGGTCGCACTAAGACTTGTTTTCTTCTTTGATCTAAAAGTAGTATCAGAAATCTCAACCAGATATTTTTCTTGTCCACTTTTATTTATACATATTTGTACATATTTATTTATTTATTTAACAATAAAATAGCCATGAAAGTGTATCTTAATCCTGTTGCTTTTCATACACGGGTCAAAGCACACACACACACACACACACACACACACACATATATATAAAAATGAATGATTGATATATATATATATATATATATATATATATATATATATATATATATATATATATTTTTTTTTTTTATTACCACTTGACAACAAAGTGGCTTGCGTGATAGTTACACGTTAAATTCATGGACTTTGATTTGATAGACAACCTATTTAAATAAATAAAAAAATTACTTTACATTTTACTTTAAAGACCACAGGGAAAAAAAGTATTTTAGTTCAGGTGTATTGAAGTTATATGAATAGAATAGCCTTGAGTGTCATGAAATGTGTCATGTCTTTGAACTACATATGTCAATCCACTGGTTTTAAATCTTTGTCTATAATATAGTTACATTTTTTTAAACATCTAAATTATTTAAAAATGTTTTTTTTAAACAAACTCATATAGTACATATTACATAAAATTAAAGTCTTTGTTTATCTGCGTTTCATTTTGTGATTATATGTGCTTCACCTACAGAGTAAGGGATGTGTTTGAACAGAAGCAGAGCTCTGGGACGTGTGGACAGACTTTCACTGTAATGATGGACATCCGCTGATGGACAGGTAAGACTCATAACTTGTGTTTGTGTTTTGTTGTGTACTAAACATGTAGGTTACCATCATTTACTTTTTGGAGGGTCACCCCTCTGGAAAGAAAATGATGGTAACCTAAACAGGTGCGGAAGGGACGGCAGAGCTGAAAATTTATACAGCTAAACTTTTATTTTTTTTCTGTCAAGAAGTATAACCCCTGCTGGACATCGTGCCGGGGCTCGGGGGGGACCCGAATCATCCCCACTCCTTCATTCACACAACACTCACTCATATCACAGAGATCTGGCTGGGATTGAACCAGCAACCTCTGAACCATGAGGCAGCACTCTAACCTGTGAGCCACAGATCTCTTGTCTGAACATGTGAAGGAGCCTATATTTCACTATTCACCTGCATGTGATTCTACAATAAATCTGTCAAAGCTATCAGAACACACTGAGGTTGGATTTGAACCCATGCCTCAATTACAGCCTTATCATCTGAAAACTTGTGCTTAACCACTAACCCACTGTAGCTTTCACATGTTGTGCTTAGCTTTTGTGGTACTTTGTTGGATGTAATGACGACAATTTAAAGTAAGCAATAGTGAGATTTGGATTCAGGTCTTCTAGATGAAAGTCCAGTGCTTTATCTACTGAGCCACTGAATCTGTAGAGCGGTTTTGTGTTTTGGATGAGGTTTTATTAATAACTTTGTTTGAATTAATGAAGAACAATAGTATTTGAACCCAGACGTTGGTGAATGAAAGGCAAACGCTCCTCCACTAAGCCTGTGGCATTTTACTATTGTTTGACGTTTATTTAAGCAACTGCATTATGAAATATTTAATAAGCAATAGACGCTCAAGTTTGAAGGCAAGCATTTATCCTCGGCTCCACAGAGTTTGTGACAACAGGTTTTACTGAGATTTTGACTTTGTTTTGCATGATTTGATCTCAGGACTCGCAAGATCAATGTATTAATAAATCAGTCAGTCACTTCAAATGTCAAACTCAAACTGATAAACAAACACAACATGTAAATAACATCATTTGTTAATTTTCTTATTATTATTCTTTATTTTAATAAGAAACATAGGGTCCAACAAACGTGCCGGGAAGTTTCTAGTGGTCCTAAAGGTCTTGATTAGCTGCTTCAGGTGTTTTCAGTCAGTTTGGAGCTAAACTCAGGAAAGTGGCTCAGCAGGAGCAGGATTAAACAGCCCTGTTCCTAATGCAGTTTTACAGATAATTGCAGATACACGTATTGTCCACAAGGTGGTGCTGTGTGCTGACAAACTGATCTGAACTCATGCATGTGTCTGTTCTATTAATTATTAAAAATAAGTCAAAACATTTTGATGTTTAGTCATAAGTTTGTCAGCTGTCATTTCAATACAGGGTTTAATTAGCATTTGTCCAAATCTGTCCTGGGTTCAAATAACCTGTCAATCTTTGCTATAAATGCATGAGTGATCAATC